AAATCCGCTTTTAACCTCGAAAATCCGCTTTTAGCCGCGAAAACCCGCTTTTAACCGCGAAAACCCGCTAAAATCCGCTTTTACGCGCTATTCGAATGAATAGCGGATTTTCCCGCTTAAGCTAGCCGCGAAACCCCTATGCGTAGTGCTGAATGCCCGCGACCGCTATTCGCGCCGCTATAGCCCCGCTATTGGCCGCTATTTACAACACTGCTTATTCTCAATACTAATCATTAATATATATAGTTCTGTAACAAAGGTTAACACGAAGGACTTTGAACCCCCAAATAAAAAAGTTTTCTGTTTATATAGCTACCTTATTTATTGATAGAATCAATATGTGAAGTGCAAGGAGAAATGAAATCTCAAAATATAGAAATGAAATATCAAAATGTGCTTATCTGATTACTGAAAAAGGACTTTCAAAGTTGAGTTCTGTGTGTGTGAGACAAATATTTTCATATTAAATTTAGTATTCATGAAGTACTATGATTTTGTTGTTTTCCAGTTTCTCAAGGGAAATCATGAAGTTTGCCTCTAGAATTTTGTTTTTCATATACTCTAAACTATTAATGTATATTTAGGGGGAAATATATACTTTTAATAGTCTGAGCATATATAGGAATGTGAAGAAATAATATGAAAGGTATACTGAAATTGCAACACTTGATATCTCACAGTTTCACATGTATACATAATGTGAAGAAATAATATGAAAGGTAGGAAATTGCAATACTTGACTTGATATCTCACAGTTTCACAAGTATAAATTAGCAATTAATGTCTGCAAACTTCACGAAGAAGCTAAAATGAGAAGTATATGCTGCTTTCTTAATTAGTCTGTCCCATGCCAACACGATTCACTAGTCATCAGTAGTGATCAGATCAATGCACGCATTGATGGAATGATCTACCAAATGCTAGAAAAATATTCGAAATTTGTGATATTGATCCAAAACAACTTTAGAGAGACAACATTAATCATGAACGCCAGTCAACCTTTTATATATGAACTTTAACCCTCTTAGGTGAGCAATTGCGGATCACGTAGTTTTTTATGATATTGATCCAAAACAACTCACATACCTTTCAATGTAGAGGAGGATAAAAGGCAGCAGCGCCGGAGGAGTGGCGAGCAAAGCCAGTCGGAGAACAGCTGAAAGAGGATGAGAATGCCAAATTAAGTATGAGTTATCAATTGATGCTTATCAAGTATGGGGTATGAAGAGTAAATTTCCAACCGATCAAATGAATAGAAATCATCTTTACTTTGAGCGAGTAAGTTGGAAACATCTTCATCTTCATCTACATGTAAATTAAATCATTTTACCTGGACACATGAGATGAACCTGGAGTGCTTGAAAGTCCAAAAGATACAGATGGGAACCTTCTAAAAATTGATATGTCAACAATACCACCAATAGCTGTGATCCTAGAAATGTTGTGTACAGTAGTCAGCTAAATGATTTTCCACAATAACAGACTTGATGACCATACTCACCAAATTAATAAGATTGACATACTCTATAAAAATTCTAAATATTGAAAAGCAGTAGCACCAAACGCCAAATTTTGATTTGTTACCGATGTCTCCATGACTCGCTACTTTATGCAAGTAAAATCTTCTCTAATATCCTCATATATCAAAGTTTCAGATTTGATGAAACATCATTTGTTCATTACCTCTGTGATTCTATTAT